TTAGCGGGAACCGAACCCAGGTCTCTCTGGACCGCAGGCTGACGCTCTAACCACTGAACCAAACCAGCCAGGGCCACAACTTGTTCTTAATGACTCAGTGAAAGCTGGCTCTGGAGTAATAATAAGCATGCTTATATATTGGTTTTAGTAATGAATTGTTTTTTTCATACAAAGATTGTGCTGGTGGTACACATTCAATAGAACGTGTACTTTAAAAGATTTTTTTTTTTTTTGGTACGGGCTCCTAGCAGGAACCGAACCCGGGACTCTGGTCCGTAGGCCGACGCTCCAACCGCTGAGCCAAACCGGCCAGGGCATTTAAAAGATTTCGAATTAGTTAAGGAAATGCTATCAGTTGTAAAAGATACACTCAAAAGTCTCTGTAGCTCAATACAATAGAAGATCATTTCTCACCTACATCAAATCCACACTGGTGTGGCTGATCAGCAGAGCCTGCTCTCTGCCGAGTGCTCATTCAGGTTCCCAGCCTCCTGTTTTTCATATTGGTTAATATATTGCAAATACATTTGTGTGTGGCTTCTTTATCCCATAGGATCTTGAATGAAGAGCATGATGGTAGCATATGAGAGTTTTCTAATATTCATGAAAATGGCCCATTTATAATCCATTAGCCAGAACATAGTCATATGGCCATGGGCACCCCTAGCTACAAGGGAGATTTGGAAATGTAGATTTCTAAGATAAAAAGGAAATAAGTTTAATAACTAGCCAGATTCTACCACAATTTTTTTGTCATCTGGTAGGGTCAAGCTGATCAATTTACACTCTTTTCTTTTCTGTCAAATGCACACATTCATAAGTAGGCTGGCAATGACTAGAGCAGGAGTTTAGTAAAAGTTTTTTTTCTGTGCAGAATTAGCTGTATCTTATGAGCTTGTCTATGGTCTCATTAGCACCAGTCTCCACACATAATCCTACCCTTGTCTGAATTACTTTCATATTTATTATCTCTATTTAGAAGAAAAGCACTGAGTTTTCAGAGCTTTCAATTCCTTTAAATTATTGAATGCACTTAACTTTGGTTTGGCTTTGATTATTTGATTATTCAGTTTAGCTATTACATTGACCATTTTTATTGTTTTAAAGAGATATTTTTATTTTCCTTAGTTTTTCCTCCCCCTTTCAACCCCACCAAGAAACATAGGGTAGTAAGTGACAAATGTAGGTCATGAGTATTCCATCTCTTACACTGCTATATTACTTTGAAAAATTGGCATATTTAGGTCTGAATGTAATAATACCTTATAATTTTGAATTTTTGTGACTGTAATTATAGAGCCTAGGCATTTTTGATATATATGAGGAACAGCAAAACTAATAGGCTGTAACCATGGTGATTTATAGGCATATAAAATTTGTAAGATATTTTTAATGACATTCATCATAAGATGCATTTGGTGGTTAACTTAACTGGTTAAAGGGTTCCATTAATAACATTCCTGCTGTTTTATTCCCATATAAGTCAAGATTTGTTCTGTTGACACAGAATTTACCTCTGATAGACATTAATTATTTCATAGTCAATTAGTGAAAAGTCATTTCATAGCATGTATATATGTCTTTGTTTGTGAGACATAGTTCAGTATCATCGATTTATAAGTTAAGTTGCTGTGTGTGTAAAGCTTCAAATGAAAGTGTGATTCCTTTGTACTGCTTGAAGTTAGTGGATTTTGGCTTCCTGAGTTTTAAAGATTAATGAACTATTAATCCAGGAGTGGGAGGAGACAGAAAAAGAAGAAAAGAAAGGTAATTGGGTGTTAGGATATGAGGATTCTAGAAGTTAGCAGTTTAGGAGAGAAAACAAAAACTAGTCAGAAAAAGGGCAACCAATATAGCCCAAAGTGTATGGGAAGAGTAAATATTAATAATTAGTGTCTTTAGTAGGAATCAAACATCATACATCATGCCTTATGAGGAAAATGAAGCCCATAGCATTTCCAAGTCCTTTTCTTGTTTGGGCTATGCAGAAATCATGGATTTACCTAGTTCTCACTGAGTTAAATTGGCAAAGCTGATCATGACCTCTTGGCCTTATCTAGACACTCTGAGGAACACACTTGTAACTCATTTCACATACTGAGCTGGAAATCTCTGCCCTAACCAGTGGTTCTCTAACTTTATCAAGCATCAGAACTTCCTGCAGGACTTGGCAAAAACAAACAAACAAACCAGCAAACAACAACAACAAAAACATATTTCTGGGTCCCACCCCAAATTTCTGATTAAATAGGTTTTGAATGGGGCTTGAGAATTTGCACATCTAATGAGTTCCCAGGTGATACTGATGCTGCTGTTCCAGGGATACTGTTTGAGAATCTGTGCATAAGATGAGGTTAAGTGCCCTGGCCAGTTTGGCTTAGTGGTTGAGCGTCGGCCTGCGGACCAGAGAGTCCTGGGTTTGGTCCCACTAGGGGCACATACCACAAAAAAAAAAAAAAAAAAAAAAGAAGTTAAGTAACCTGTAACCTGTTCACCTTGTGATAAATAATGAAGTGGCAATAGGTATCTTATTATTGATAAATAATAAGATGCTCATGATTGGCTAATTGTATGCCTCACAAACTCTCATTCTGTTTCATTGTCAGTTACCAGGCAGGAGAGGATGTTATTCTTGAATATTTTGAGTGTGACTTATTCTAGATAAATTCATATCACAGAATTATATATCATATATTATCACTGTATCATGAATAGTAATTGTTTAAAATAAACAGAAAAGTTGAAACTCAAACTTACTTGAACATTACTTTGTGGTTCTGTATTTAGTGTGCCTTTTACTTTTAAAAGGGATATGCAGTACCTACATATGTCACAAGATGGCACTGAAAGGCTGTAGATTTTGGTTGAAATTTGATTTTTGAAACTATTAATGGTTTAGATATATTTGTATTTCATGTGTATTCAAACCAAAACAAATTTGATTATGAAGTGTTTTTTAAAAATTGAGTGAGATGTTATTTTCATATAAAAAGTTTTCTTTAGTTATAAAAATAAGTCACATATGTTGACATTATTATTATTATTTGTTAATCTTCACCTGAGAATATTTTTCCGATATTTATTTATTTATTTATTTATTTATTTATTTATTTATTTATTTATTTTTTAGATAGAGTGGAAGGTGGGAAGGGAATGGGGAGGGGGGAGAGAGAGAGAGAGAAACATCTATGTGAGAGAGACACATCGATGGGTTGCCTCCTTCACAACCCCCACCAGGGCCAGGGATCAAACCTGCAATCTATGTATGTGCTCTTGACTGGGAATCGAATCTGAAACCCTTCGGCCTATGTGCTAACCACTGAGCCAAACTGGCCAGGGCCATATTGTCATTATTCACGACTAATTCTTTTGGAAATCAATGAAACATATATCTTAATGTAAAAACATCAAATATTTTATTATTACACATCCTCCAGAAGGACTTCAAATAAATTTAAGTTAGCAAGCATTTAGAAGGTCTTACTGTTCTATGATTTATAAGGTCTTATTATACATAAGAAGATATAGATGTTGCCCGCAATGAACTTTAAATTTAATTGGGTAAAAAAAAGAAATGTACATACAATTCAAAGAGAGAACAAAATAATAAAAAATTATCAAATACAATGCTGTATGATATGGTCTATACAAACAACGTGAACTGAAATAATGAGCAATTTAGCAAAAAATTTAAGTGGTATTTTACCAACATATCCTTGTATTAGTTGAAACCACTACGTTGAATTTTTTTTTACTCTGATTACCTACACTATTATAACTTATTTAAATTATGAAAAAGTGGTCAGCAATAAGAAGGGCTGTGTAAGATTCAGGATTTGACATAAATAAAATATCAGAACAATTCACTTGAAATATAAATTCACCTTTATCTTATGAATATGTGATTTAATTTTTTTCTGATTAATTGAAAACTATTTTTCAGAAGAGGGTGAAGATTTTCTAGTTATACAGATGTTACGATATTCTTAGATTCCTGGTGTCTGAAAAACATATCTATATTAAAAAATCAGGTGTAGAGTGGTGGTTACCAGGGTACTGAGTTTGGGAGAAAAGGGGATATGCTTTTTAATGGTATAGATTTTGAGTGTTGCAAATGGAAAAAGTTCTGGAGGTCTGTTTCACAACAGTGTGAATATACTTAACACTGTTTAAATATGCATTTAAATAAGTGTCCAACTAGAAACTATGAGCAATTAATAGGTTATTATTGAGGATCAACAATGTTCCTAGCTTTATTTAACCATTAGGTGCTACTTAGAAATAAAACCCCCTTAGGAAGTCTATAATATAATTGGTGATAGAAGATTAACCTAATATACAAATATAATAATCTACTGAAAGCCAACATATATTAGGCATTGAACTAGACATTTATTTTTTATTCTTTTATTTTTTAACATTACATTTATTGGGGTGACATTGATTAATACAATTATATAGGTTTCAAGTGTACAATTCTATGATACATCATCTGTACATTTTATATAAATTATTTCTAATCTTCAATCCTCAAAACAATACTAGAATGTTAGTATTATTATCCCTGTTTCCCTATTTTATCATTTAGGAAACTAAATTTTATAGATATGAATATTTAGTACCTTGTTAAGTTTGTACTGTTTCTAATCTTGGAGTTGGATTTAAACTCAAGTCTGTCTAGCCTCAAAATCCATTTTCTGTATACTAAACTATGCTCCTAATTTAAATAAAAAAATAATTAAAGAATATATATAAACAACTAATAATTTGTTTGGTATTTTTACTACCAGTAAGCATTATCTATTTTATTGTAATTATTATGGCAAAATTAAAAGTAAGGACATGTGATTTAACTAAGGGTAGCTGTTAATCTGGATTACGTTTTAACTTCAGAAAGAATAACCATATATATTTTTGTTGGCTTGAATTACTGTCTCTCTTTTTGTTTGTTTTCAACATTAGGAAACATTAATTTCTTTTCCCTTTGTATTCACGTGCAGGTTATGTGGGTATGTAATTTGTGCCGAAAACAACAAGAAATCCTCACTAAATCAGGAGCATGGTTTTATAATAGTGGATCTAATACACCACAGCAACCTGATCAAAAGGTTCTTCGAGGACTGCGGAATGAGGAGGCGCCTCAGGAGAAGAAAGCAAAACTGCACGAGCAGGCCCAGTTCCAAGGACCCTCAGGTGACTTATCTGTACCTGCAGTGGAGAAAAGTCGATCTCATGGGCTCACAAGACAGGATTCTATTAAAAATGGGTCAGGAGTGAAGCACCAAATTGCCAGTGACATAGCTTCAGACAGGTAAACATTTTGTTTAATCTTTAGGTAAACATATTATTTTTAATTTTCATTCCAACCAGAAACAAAAATACATGCAATGTTAGGCAACCAGTTGTCTAAATGTAATATAAATGTCCATATGTTTTATATAAATGCTGAAAGTGATGTTTAGGACTTGAGCTATTATAGGTTTGAGCAATCTTAGGTTTGATGAGGGAGGGTTGTGTTATCAGATTTTCCAGAAAAAAGAAGTGAAATAAAACAGGGAGTTTAGATAGGAGGTTATTGTTGAGAAAAGAAACTGGGATAAGAGCAATGAGAATGAAGAAGAGATGGTTTTAAGATATTGTTACAGAGGTTGGATTGATAGAGCTAACTGGAAGTGGGAGTTAAGAGATTGGGAAAGGTTAACAATGTTTCTAAAGGTTCTGCCCTGGGCTGAAGGATGAGGTGGTTTTCCAAGCAGGTAAATACAGATGAAAGGGTTTTATGAGTTCTCTATTATTACTATTTTAGCTCAGTTTTATGGACTTCTCCACAATAAAAGTGTTAGACTTTAAAAAATAGTGTTTATGGTTCTTATATTTTCTGCCTTTGGAAGGAGGAGAATGAAAAATTTTCATGGGGACGATTATTTTTTTATTTCATATTTCTTTTTAAATTAAAAAAAATTTAAGGAAAATCCTGTTTATACTATATATATTGTCAGAAGTGGCAGATGTGTTTTTGTGTGAACAAGTATAAAGTCATGCATTTGTAGAAAAACAAATCTGAATTGGATTTACAGGGTGGTGGGTTCTGAGCAGTCAGTTATAACAGGTAAGATAACTGAGAGTCTCTTCAGATGGTGCCTAAAGCCATAACACAGATGTGTTGCTAATGTCTTGAGAGAATAATATAATGATGATGCACCAATTTTTTTAAAAACCAGCAAAAGTGAAATAGATAATGTAAATCTATCTTTGGGCAAAACCATGGTGATTTCATGGCTGGAGTATTAGGACCACATATCAATGCAGAATCTCAGGAACCAAAGAATTTTAAGGTAGGATAACTTGAATAACATCATGAGTGCTACAGAAATTGTATTTGTGGTTAACATCCTTCCCCAAAATAAAACTACAGACCTGATGGCATCATTGTTAAATTCTAACAGTCTTTAAGGAAGAAATAATGCCATTTCTACATAAACTTTTCTGGGAAATTAAAAAGAGGAGGGAATATTTCTCAACCCTTTCTCATAACCAACTTTATCCTAATACCAAAACCAAAGATATTTATAAGGAAAAAACAACAACACCACCAAACAAACTGTAGACCAACATTCCTCATAAATATAGATATAAAAACTCGAAACCAATATAGCAAACTGGATCCATACATATATAAAATGGTAATACAGGATGAACAAGTGGGGTTTATCCCAGGAATGTAGTTAGTTTAACATTTGAAAAATAATGATAATTCACCGTTTTAACAAATTAGAAAAATCATATTATTTCAGTAGATACAGAAAAATCATTTGACAAACTTCAGCATCTATTTTTAATAAAAACTCTCAGCAACTAGAATTGAAAGGAATTTTTTCAACCCAATCAAAGATATCTATGATGATCCTGCAGATGTCATCACACCAAATGGTGAAGACTGAATACTTTCTCCTTAATAAAAAACATAACAAGGATGTTCATTTTCATTACTTCTTTTAAAAAATATAGTAGAGTTCTAGTCAGTGAAATAAGACTACAGTGAAATAAAATAAAAGACATTCAAATGGAGAAGGAAGAAATACGCTTTATTCATAGAGAACACAATTGTTTATATAGAAAATTAAAGGAGTCTATAAAAATGCTATCAGAACTAATAGTGAATTTAGCAAGGTTGCAGGATATAAAGTCAATATCAGACAATCATTTGTATTTCTAAATACAACAAGGAACAACTTGGAAATGGAAATTAAAAGAATAATATTTGTGAACACATTAATATGTGAAATACATCTATACTAGCACTGACAAATGAAGTACTTAGGTACAAATTTAACAGAATACGTACAAGATCTGTATACTGAAAACAATGAAACATTGATGAAAAGAAATAATGTTTTGAATAAATGGAGAGATATTCATAGATGAAAAGATGCAATACTGTTAAAATGTTATTTCTCCCCAATTTGAGCCATTTATTAAAATTCATATGGAAATATTTGCAATTACCAGAACAGCTTTTAAAAATACCAGAAATTAGAGGTCTAACACTACCTATGTGAAGACATTATAAATATACAGTAATTAAAAGAGTATGGCATTAGCATAAAGACAGACAAATAGATCAGTGAAACAGAATGGAGAGTTTGTATATAGACCCATTCATATATTGACAACTGATTTTTGACAAAGGTGCAAGGACCGTTAAGTAGAGAAAGGATAGTCTTTTTCACAAATGCTACTAGAAAAATTGAATAGCCATTAAAAATGAAGTTTGAAGCTTCCTTTTTTACATATTAAAAAAACAAAAATGAGCCCAGCCTGTGTGGCTCAGTGGCTGAGTGTAGACCAATGCACCAAGAAGTCACCAATTTGATTCCTGGTCAGGGCACATGCCCAGGTTGTGGGCCAAATTTCCAGTGGGGGGCATGCAGGAGGCAGCCAATAGATGTTCTCTCTCATCAATATTTTTATCTCTCTCTCCCTCTCCCTTCCTCTCTTTCTAAAATCAATAAAGAAAAAAAATTTTTTAAAAGAAATTAAACACATAAACAAATTGGGAAGGTTCAAATGCAGGAGCTTAAAAAAAGCTATATAGAGAGATTCAGTAATCAAGAAATAAAATTTTGCTATGAAAAAAACAAAAGGTTAAGATCCAAGATAACACATAATTGAACTGGTTATCTTAGGGTTGAGATAGAACATGAGTATAAATACTACCATTTGACTATATGATGGCATATATATAAAAGTATTTTAGGGTGGGTAGTATGCATTTTGTTCTGACATTGAATATCAAGGTTGATCTTGCTAGTGGTCCATAAAAAAATTCACCCTGTCTAAAAGGGATATAAATAGAATATATAAATATAAATATAATCTAACCATGGGAGTTATATCCCACCATAGTCACAGGACCTGCCCATACTTAAGGGTGGGGGCGTGATAGCACAGGTGTGTACATCAGAAGGCAGGGACATTTAAGAAATCCACTTACCTCAGATTGCAAATGATTTTTCCCAATTTGTCATTAGTTTTTTGACTTTGCTTATTCTTTTTCCAAAGCTTATACATAAACATGTTTTTAACTCTGGTGGAATTTTTTTATAACTCCTCATTTTTTTAATGGAGATATCGTTCATGTGCCCAAAAGTTCACCCTTTTAAAGTATACAATTCAATGGTTTTTAGTATATTTATGAATTTGTGAAACTATCACCAGTATTTAATTTCAGAACTTTTCCATCACCCCAAAAAGAAACTCCATACTCATTAACAGTCACTTCTCATTCTCCCCTCCCTTCAGTTCCCTGACAACCACTAATCTACTTTATATCTCTGTGGATTTGCCTATTCTGGACATTTCATAAAAAGGGAATCATAAAATATATGGCCTTTTGTGTCTGGCTTCTTTCACGTAGAATATTTTCAGGGTTCATTCATTTTGTAGTAGGAATCAATAATTTGTTTATTTTTGTGGCTGAATAATATTTTATTGTATGTATATCTGACAGTTTGTTTATCCATTTATCAGCTGATGGGTATTTGAGTGTTTTTTTTTCTTTTTTTGGTCTATTATGAATAATGCTGTTATGCAAGTTTTTGTGTGGGCGTTTGTTTTCAATTCTTTTGTGTCTATTTTTTTATTATAGTCATCCCAGTTAGTGTAAAGTTTTATCTCATTGTGGTTTGATTTGCATTTCTCTAATGATTAATGATGTTGATTATCTTTTCTTGTGTTTATTGTAGTCTAATCCTTTGTTGTGGCCCTTTGCTTATCTTACTGATTTATTTAAAACTATTATTAATAGTACTATTATTGATATTTTACTTTTACATTGTAAAACAGTGATCTGTCTAAAATTTGTTAAGAGTATGGTGTGAGGTGCAGATCTAAACTTAACTTTTTTTATACATGATTAGCCCTTGTTCCACTATACTTATTGAATGAGCAGTCTTTTTCTTCCCATTGATTTGATGCTATTTTATCACATATTAATTATTATATGTTAGCATATATTTATAGATGTTCTGTATTGTTCTATTGACCAATCTGTTGAAAGCTTATATGTAGTTTCAAAAATCCCATTTCCATTACTTAAGCAAACCAAACTGTTAGTTGTTGAAAGTAAGAAACTTGGCAACATGAACTATAGTATGTTTAATTTTCTAGTTATTAAACTACAGTATACATTGTGGTGTATGTTGGGTTATGCAATGAGTAAATTTTGAAGAAGTGGGAAGCCCCTGGAGAATGGGAAGATTTATGTTTTTAACAATAATACTTCTAATTATACAGCTTGAATATATCAGTGGCCAGAGTAAAAAGTGAGAAGAGAAATAGTAATTATGATAGAAAGGAAGAATGAAAGATCCTTTCCTCATAATACATTGCTGGAAATTGCATTGTACCGGAATCATTTCAGTTTTTTAAAGGATTATAAATAAACCTGTGTTCATGATTTTTGCCACCAGATGGCGAAAGGCGCACCCTAAAAGTAAAACTGTTTAATTCTGTGATTATTCCACCTGAATTAGTTGCAGAGATGGTTATAGACCAATAAGTGGATTGAGTTGGCACTTGAGATCATGAAAAACAAGATTTCTCATGTGGCACTGCTTTTTATATTGAAATATGATATATATTCTGAAATGTTTATCTCTAGTTCTGAGATCTCCATGTACCCGACTTGTATTTACATCTGGAGGTTGTACAATCTTACCCTTTCCCCCACAAATACTTCAAAATCAAAATATTTTGAATCTAAGTATCTATTTCTTCCCAAAATAGCAGCTTCTTTGTCATTCCCTAGTC